CTTGGACTCTGCTCCCTTTTTTATTCATAAATCAAACACAAATCAATGAAAGAAAGGATCAAAAGGATTAAGATTAAAGGTACAAATTTACCTTCACTTTACTGTGCATTCAAATATATTGAAAAAGAGACCTAATAGGATCCGGAAAAGAACTAAAAATCAAATGAACGTGGTGAAAGAAGAATGAAAAGAAGCAGAAAATCACTTAGGACAATAACCAAAGAAGTATTGTGTTATTTAAAGGGCCATTTCATGAATCATTGAAAACCACCAACATGATCCCCCAGAATCAGTTTATGTTTTTTTTTATTTTTTCATGCAGCACCTTTATTATTTTCATTGAAGGCATCTAGAATTCTCCTTTGTAACCTCTGTGATGCTGTGCTTTCTTTTCCAGCATTTTTAATCCCATATAAGTTATTTATTGATAGGAGATATTATATCCTAGCTGGTATTTCAACAAAAAATTATATGTGTAGTATTTAATTCTTAACATTGTCCCCTTTTTAACCTCCCCGGCACCATTTTATTCCCTTCTATTGAGAAACCGGAGAAATTCTTGAATTTACTGAAATTTCCAGATTTTGTAAAGCTGCCCAGAGGGTTGGGTTGGACCCTTTGATGGGATAATTGTAGCCCCACAACTCTCCCTTCTTCAAGAGAAAAAGGCAATGAGCTGCCGTGAACGGACACACTGGTTCTCACACGCTGACACTTTGAGGTTAAAGAACAAACCTGAATCTAGTCAAGTTTTAATACCATCATCCGTTGGACATTTCTAATAATCTGTGTGTCGGCTAGATAAGCAGAAATGTGTGCTGTGACATCTGCGTCTCTCTGCTGGACTTTGCTCTGCATCCTGTTCGTCTCTGCAGGTGGGACTGAATTTGCTTTAAATGCACAATTAATTTCTTGTGGAATTCTCTTTATATTCACAGTGGAACTGTGAATATAAAGTAGCTAATGTGATCTCTCTGATCTCAGGGCCGATGAAGTTAAAGCTGAATTAGAACTGATCAGGAATCGTTAACATTTGTGTGACTGGTTGAACATGCAGTCATATAGATTTTTAATGTTTTTATTGCTTGTATTCTCCCCTTATGTAAAAGTACATTTACAAATATTTGCCTAAAAAAACTGTAAATACAGCAGCGTGATTTCTTCATGTGTCCCTTCACAATTTTAGTCTACAGCGAGATTGATAATAATTAATAGTAGTCGCAGTGTGCCACCTTTACATTGTACTTTACTTCTGCATTTCCAGATCAGCAGATCTCAGCGGGCTGCAAAACTTGCTCCTCACTGTGAAGTCTTTAATTGTATGTTGGACTCTTTAACCTCTCTGCTCTGTGCTGTTTGCTCTTTTAGACTCGATAAGCATCACAGCTGAATCTGGTCAAACTGTCACTCTACTGTGTTGAGCTCAAAGCAACAAACCCATCGACAGTGTTGGGGAGTAGTGGAATACATGTACCGCCGTTACGTATTTAAAATACAAAATATGAGTAACTGTATTCCGTTACAGTTAC